ATATCTTGAAAAATATAATCTACATGATAATTTGAGGTCAGGCAGGAGACAGTGATGTTCGTGTGAGGCAGATGCGAGCTCCATTGACATACAGTTCATCCTGAATGATGACATCTCACCCAGTACTGACAACACTCCCATCCGCACCTACAGAACAGAACAGTGAACATCTATAGGGACCCTCACGAGAATGATCTCTGTACAAAAGACAATTTCAACCCCATGCTTGATAATACTGTAGTGCATTATTTGACCTCACGGAGATAGCGGACGAGCTATCTACAATGGACACTTATGTTCAAACCCACGGTAATACTTTGAGTGTATAATGAGAATAATTTGACTCCATGATAGGGACGAACTCTCTATATACAAGGGGAAAAACCATTGGCCATCATAGTGTCACGTGTTCTGAGGTTCATTTCTGCAATATAGCACACCATTTCATATCACACTCAGTAGGCAACATTACGGTAATAGCTAGGAGGGGCTTACCCACTTCCCCACACATGATTGCCACCCTATTATAATGTGACTGGACCAGGCATGAGAGCAAAGACGTGCACCCTCAGGACAGTCGATGCGGATAGACACACACACCATGTCAACTGAAATAAAAACTGCGTATGGCAGCGTAAATTGATAATGACGCAAGGTAGTATAACACAGCCTGCAAAACCGTGATGAATATGCTACTACACTCAAAATTAATCTCGGAAGGCAAGCGTAGTAGTCAACTGGTCATAGGCATAGATTACTAGACTAGCCGTACATAGTCTATATAGAAATCAAAGCGGATGTCCACACAGTCGTCTGAATCACGGAATTGTCTCTAGTGCAGGGTGATTCGTACGTCCACACCTGATTCTACAACAGAGAGTACTCGTGTGAATGAATAGTACCATCTTCAATGATGCCGTTGGGTCCAATGACGACACTGGGACCGATCCTGCAGCCCTGACAATCTTAGCTGATGGATCTGTGGCAAACCGACGCAAACAAGCGTGGTGTGGTTTGATTGTGTTGTCCAGCCCTGTGTGATCTAGTAATTCGGCATCACACAATATACAAAGTAGTGTGAATCACTATACAACGAACCCTGTATTACGACCAGCTATACATACGTCTGAAACTTTTGGACATGCCTATTCTTCATTGGCGATACTGCGCATATCCTATCTCTGCAGTCATATGCGTCCTGTTGAATGGCACTAATCAGCTGATCCACCAAGTCAAGTGGTAGCACGTGTCCTGCTCCCTTACAGAAATTTTGATGCTATATAGGTAAGGCGTACCTCCTCCATGCCCACCGACAAGCGCTGCATATACACTAGCTAAAACACACACATTACTCAGGTCAGGAGTACACTTAATAGTACAATGAGCACACCCAAACGCATACAGTCTACTGCTGTGTACATAGTTACGCAATGTCAAGTACACGCAGTTATAAAATGATCGCACTCTATACAACTCCCTGCATTTCTCACCAATTTTAACATTCTTTCTTGACATTGCATTGTACAAATTCATATTACTAGCTTGAATGCTAAGCATTTTGGCGAGCTGGGAGCGACCCAAAACAAATGCAGATTCAGCAGGTTAGCAGTTTGTGCAGAGAAGGACGCAGACATATATATAATGGTTTTCATGTGGTTTGTGCGTATATTTTGCAGGTAATGGTTATATTATCTGACACAGTTTCTAGTGCTCGTCTCCGGCGGTCAGCGACTCTCATCTGTTGCAGGCGTGTGTCACGATTTTGAGATGATCGTGCTCACGGACATGCCCCCTTTCCCGTGCCCACGTTGCGACAGGCGCATCTCTCTCTCCTCGGCCGAGTCTCAGAGCAAGCCGCTGTCGCCAGCGCTGCGAGCATGTGCCTGCTAGTCGGCGGTCATTGGCGTGGGCGGTTTCTGAAGCACGACGCTGGCTGTCTCTCTCTCGCTACACACTGAAGGACCCATGACAGTTGTAACTACACACGGTTTTGTAACTACACACGTTGCAATCATTGAATGGAGCCAGCGAACATTACGGTATGTGTCGCATCGACGGATAGGAAAATTGGCCCGTTGCAACGACTAGGTTGGCTCGCTCTCGCCAATTTATACAACAGAAAGAAGCAGCATAAAGTTTCAACTCACCACGAGGACATTTCCAACAAAGGAGTCTCCCTCGGCCCAGTCTCTCTGGAGACGTCTGTCTCACGTGGGACAGGTAGAGAGCCATCCCTCGCAGAAGTCCTTTGGCTGACCAATGTCCATCCAGAACCCTGACACAGGGCAGAGCATTTCTATACACTAACAAACAGTGGTATTAGCTATGACACGTACATACATAACCCTCCCATTAACATTCCCGTGTTCTTTTAACTCGTGATAAAACCCTACTTGTAAATACAGTAGGTATAATAATTATACAGATGATGTACCCTCCAGGTCGAAGGCAAAGAGCTGTCCGTCCCGAGCCATGAATGGAAACACCTCTTTCTCCAGTGACATAAACTTCACCGAAGACAGGAGGAGGGAGGAGAAGTTTTAAAAAATCAAGCGCTGAACCTGTCGACGCCGATCATCGTGTTTGCATACTTCAGACGGATAGAATGAAGGATGAAAGACTGACTCACAAAAGTAATCATGTTACGCATGTGAGCCAGTGTTATTCATAGGTCTTTTTGTCGGTTCTTATGTGATTGAAGCACCACAAAAGCACATGCTGATACCCACTTGCACTGGTTAGCCCCAAGGCATCTTTATCATAAGTGCTCCACACTGCCCTTATCCCCCTGGCAGGCTCCACCAGACACACTATTGTACAGCCAGTCAATATATCCATTAGGCTGATGATACAAGTTTATACAGTGGTTTGGTGGTCAGTGAACTCATACTTTATCACAGGCTGCATGCATAATATGTTAATTTTATCTTCATATCTCTGGCTAGTTTTCAAACATAAGGACTCAAGCTAGTAACATTGATGGTGGTTTCATACTAAGTACCTAAACTCTTTCTTAGCTCACTTAGATGCAATTTTAACAGAACCTATTGTGTCCAGAGTATTCTTTTTTCATACGAAGGTCACGAAAGTTATGGTAGTTCAAAACACGCTATATACAGTATTAGGTAACATGGCTAGGCAAGGGCGGCACAAGCGGTGGGGCTAGTGGGCTGTAGCCCTACCACATTTCGTAATCAGGGGGCTTAGCCCCACCACTATTATATTCCCGGTTCGCGCATGCGCAAGACCGGTGCACAAGTCCTGCACAGTCAGCAGATACGCTCGCGCTAGGACTTCTCTAAAAGAGCAGTTTGCTCGCCAGCAGCCACGCGCATGCGCAGCGAGGGTTATTGTAGTTGGTCTGTGTGTGTGTCTGCGCGCGTGTGTCCGTCCATCCGTCAAGTGCTTTTCATTCCACTAGAGTAGCCCCACCACTTTATATATCTTAGTGCCGCCACTGCTAGGGGCTTAGAGTATAATGGTAATAGGCAGGGCAATCGTCCAATAATCAAGCCAGTACAACAATGACCCATTAAAACCGCTCTGTGGCAAATTTCTTGCGTGATGTGGCAGAATACATTGTAGCAGACAGACAGAGAGACACACCCACAAACCAAGTACTATAACTCTCGCTGTGTATGTGCACTGAGGGTCAATAAGACATGTCACTCCTGGTTTTTACACGCAACACACATACCTGTATTCTCTTGAGGACAGTTGGGCTGAAGATGTATATGCCGGCATTGATCTTGTTGGAGACAAAGATCTTTGGTTTCTCCACGAACCTGCCAATCTGCCAACTGGTTGGGTTGTACACCACCACACCATACTTACTTGGCTCCTCCACCTTTGTCACCTGCACAACGAGTAACACATCATTATTGCATTATAAAGTATGTAACACATCATATTTTTATTACAATATAATGTGTAACATATCATAATTTGTTGGATATCTCTCGCCAACTGCCACGTATGAAGCTACGGGGAATTTTATCAGCCTTTACAATCCTGCACGTGCAAGCAGGGTTCATACATGTCATTTGCCTGGGGATATCCAACAATTCTGTTGCAGTATCCTGTCTGGGTATGTATATACACACAATGTGTAACAACACCGCCACTTCATTGGCACACAGCAAACAAAGTCCATCATAATTGCCAGAAATAGAACAGCCCCTCCAAATTTCACCAATGTGTTGCAAGAGACCAAACTTAGTTTTATATACAGGGCACCTTTTTGCTTGGCTTGTCACATGTTTCTAGCAACAATTTTCCCTGCATATGATATCCCAATCCACAACAAATGAAGCATGCTCCCTTCAAATGACAAACGAAAAGCACAAGTGCAAACCCTCGGTGAACAGCGCATGCGCGGTATTACTAATTGATGGGCTGGGCTATTAGTAGTGTGCGCGTCTACTCTGGTCTCCCGCGGAGAGTCTGACATGGACTGCTACAGTAGTAGATAGCTTGCGGGAGTCGATACGCACCCTTCGTTGTGACTTCTTGTGCCTTCAAGATACACAAAGCAAGCGAGGTAAGCCTGTGCTAATTAGCCATTTGCTTGGTCACCGTGGTTTGTCACGCATAAACTCTCGAACGCCGCACTCTTACTTACTGAAAATCGCGCCATTGTTTGTAAATGAAGCCAGTGTAGCGCTGAACCCGTTTGGTGTCGCTATTTTACCTGTTTGTTGCGCGTGGTGGCAGAGAACGTGGTAACAGATAGACAGACAGACAGACAGACGGACGGACACACCAAGTACTGTAACCCTCGCTGAGCATTCGCGCCGAGGGTTAAAATGATGCCAGGAGAAAGTGGAGTAAAGCGCTCGCTAAGTGGGCCAGCCATTAATGCACCGTATGAAATCTATAATTATTGTGACATGTATGACATCACATGGGGGTGTCAGCTACACACAATTCTCCACACATTGTCAACTAGATGCCCACACTGCGACAGCATTGGTTTCCTGCCAGCTATCCACTAACCACAATGGTTCCCTCCTTCCCGTGCGAGTGGTGTAGTTCTAACATCTTCTTGAAGGGGTAGCTGCAGATGACGTCACTGTTCAGAACAAAGAAAGGCTCGGCATCTTTCTCCAGTATCTCCCTTGCCAGACCCAGTGGCCCAGCTGTAAGAGACAAACAGTAGAAAATAAAGTGGAGTAGCTAAGCAGGCAGTAGTTACTATGTTTTTTCACATAGTCTATAAACCATCAGTGAACTGTTTTCTTACACTATGCTTAGAGTTGATGTGCAGGCATGTAGTGAGTACTAAAATGAACAGTGCAAATGAATGAAAACCACATGTACAGTACGTGCAGGTACTACAGAGTCGAATAATGTTGCATAACATGTGTGAGGAAATGATCTGTAAAACAACACAATGCCTGTGTTCCATTACGTTTCTACGAACGATCACAAAGTGACCAGAGTGAAACAGAATTACCTGTTCCCAAAGGTTCTTGTTCATGTGAGAGTGTGATGGTGATGCCCAGCTGCAGTAACACGGGAGAGAACAGCGTCTCTTATTGTATATGGGGGGAAGCTAACGGTCATCGGCTGTCTTCTCGGCCTGGCACAGAGCGATAGGCAACCGGGCGTAGGACCGTGCGCCTATGAACGAGAGCATTTAGTTTCTGCTAGCAGGACACTTTCCACACCACAAGTGTTCAGTATTGGATCTCACACATAATATTTCAGTAGAGTTGAGAGAGTTCTAATTACTTCATTTAAGACTTAGTTTTGAGTCCTGAAATTTGCTCGTCAGCATTGTTCTTAGCTCGTTATCCATGGAATAGTATGCAAGAGTAAACAACAACGTATTTCGTGACTCAAAATTAGTCCTAAATGAAGTAACAAACTCTCTCCCATTCTCCCTCATTAGCAGGAAAATACACTTGCAGGGTGAGAAATACTGGAGACAGTGGGGCTACCTCAAGCCAGCCACAGTCTACCCACTTGATTGCCATATCAAAACCACAAACCCTTTCACAAAACCACATGCAGCTTACACCTGTACTGCATATAATTATAGTAAACCAGGCAAGCACTATCCTCAAAGCTGACTTGCTCATATACACTTTGTGCCATCCAATGATTGTAGTATATGTGTCAACTACGAGGTAGAAAGGCAAAGACACAACAAACAAGTTGCACTACGACTTACATACAGTAGGATAGCTTGAGAATATTATTATGATTCAAGAAAAATTACAAAAAGTTAGCATCGACTGTGGCCCGGGCTGAGAAGCCCTCCACTGGTCCATTGAGCAGTACATTTAGTGTCCAGGTGTTTGCCCACAGCCAGTGGCACTGTTGGCACTGGCCTCCTTCCCTTCCCAGTCCCCTACCTACACACACTCTCCCATGCCCCTAATCCTTCTTCGAACTTGATAATCACCGAGAAAGGAGCAGTTAGCCTTCCCTTCACTGCCCCCTACCTACACACAGACACACTCTCTCTCTCTCTTTCTCTTATGCCTCAATAGTACTGCACACCCTGTCGTTGCTGTCTTAAACTGGAAATTGATTAGAAACTTGTACAATAAGGCAGATGGTTAAACAGTTAGCCCCCTACTTATACACACGCTCTCTCTCATCCTTCATTCATACTGCATACCCTCCCATTCGTGATTTAACAAGTATTCAGTGACTGAAATAACTTGATAATAACTGAGAAACACTGTTGGTTAACCATATTGCTGCTATTACCAAACGGTATAGTATTATGGGCACAGGAAATACATATGTACCTCTGCACCTAAAATGAAACCAGCCAACTATCCTTTCTGGTTTGACTAAAGCTGCAGTATGGAACGGTGATGTCTTCTATCTCACAGCACGTATCCCTATCTCGCCAAAGCAGTACTTAGTATATAGCAATGGGAGCCAGTAAGTTGGTGCTATACATATATATAGCTCCATGGAGTAGCCTCTGTGATGTTTGTTACGACAGATTCTGCACTGCCTGGGGTCATGTCTACTCTACATATAATGTGTCATATGCACTCCCACAGAGACATAAGCTACAGCTGCTAAGGGCTTTTTGCCCACTGTGTATACATCTTGAGAGTAAACAGATGCTGTGTACAGTGAAAACACACATGCATAACATGTGTATAATGTCCCTACCACATGAAGGTATTAGACCATGTGACGCCAAGAGAAAAAAGATGGGGAGTTCTGGACAGCTGTTTCGGCTTGTTTATAAAGGCTAGCTACCAGGAGCGCAGCGCTTGTGGTTCTGAACTAATGAGATTCATCCCCACAAGGCTTTACCACTGGTATGTGCTGCCCATGCCCAGACATTCATGGTTTGTGTACATGTGTGTATATGTGTGTACCCACACTCAGCCAGATCAACTTATTTCACTCGCCACAATGTGAAGGAATTAACACAATTTACACCAGCTGGGCATGCAGTGCTTTTACAGTACTACTACTCTATACACACAAAGGTGGCACATAACTACTGGAGAGGTCATCCCTATCTCAGATGGTTCCTTATCTGAGGTTCCACTGTACACCACTACAGAGTTCTCAACACTGACAACATTAGTATAGTGGGAGTGACCATTGACTATGGTCCCTATGGATTCCTGGACAGATACGACCCTGGACACATCTGCAATGGCTCGGGTATCTGTCATCCTACAATGTGTGAACTGATGTTTCATTTTCTCCATGCAGACAATGAGGGTCGATATGCCTATATATATTATGACCAGCAGCCCAGAGTGTGTCGGTGGAACCTGGGCAAGTTGGCCGAGGCTCTCTCTCCTCTTCTCTCTGAAGAGGACACTCTCCTCGCACTACAGCTGTATGTTTACACATCATCTCCTGATGACTTGTACAGTATGTTCTTTGCAGCTATGATTCTGAATTTGAGAAGAGCTATCTAAAGAAGATGAGATTAAAGGTAGAGAGACTTGTTTTGAAGTATTATACTAACTTATACTGGGTGTGTGTGTGTGTGTGGTGAACAGCTAGGACTGTGTAAGGAGGAGGAGGATGACAGTGATCTGATAGAGTCTCTACTGGACACAATGCATACCACTGGTCAGTAGCAGTGTACTGTCGATGTGTTGGTGTCGTGAAAGACATCCTCTTCTGTAGGATGTGACTTTACCAATGGATTCCAATGTCTCAGTCGAGTGACAATTCCTGAGAGTCAAGACTCCACAGAGAGGTATATAGGTGATTGGTCTCATCATTCGTCAGTTCTTCTCCGTGTGATTAGCCTCACTTATTAAGGAGCTTGGGGATGGCTAGTGAATGTATATATTCATGGTGCCATCATTACTGCTAGCGTAACTGATAAACTGTACATATTGTATAGGGAGATTGAGGGGGTGGTGGAGTATCTCCTGGAAGAATGTGCCTCTCCTCAACAACTGGTCCAGTCCAACAGACCAAAGATGCCACCTCAGTCAGTCAGTCACAGACACTCTGACATCCTTTTCTCCTTGTTGTATATGTTTTAAGTTCGAGCATGGCCATCTACAACTGCGTCGGTAGGCTCTGCCCAGAATGTAGGTTGTCTTTGTGTGGCGGGGTGCTTAGTCGTTGTGTTGGTTCTTGTTGATGTACTTATTGAAGTGTTAGTCCCAGGGTATTAATCCCCTGCTATATACACTCCCGTGCAGTCAGCTGCACATGTTCCAGCAGCTGATGGAGACGGCGCCAGAGGTGCTGCAGGCTCTGGGTCTGAGACCTGAGTCCCTCCAGCAGGAGATTGCCAAAATGCAGAACATGGACAAACTCAAGGTCCTACTCTTGTTCATACTGGGAAACTCAATGAGACACAGTAGAACCTCCAATAAACAAAGGACAAAGGATAAACCTCTCAATAAAGAACACACTTTAATGTCCCAAACATTCACTTTTTAAAGAGAGGACAACATCTCCCCATAAGAACGACAAAATGCCTGGTTCCAACCTGTCTACTTCAGGAGGTTGCACGGTATATTCAAAATAGCTATTCAGGCGAGTACAGTTACAGCTGTCTGTGTGTTGCTAAAAGTGGGAGCTGCACATTGTTGTGGGTGTGTACAGGAGATGAGTGTGGAGGAGAAGAGGAGTGGAGACAGAGCGGTGTGGCTGGAGTGGCTGTCGAGGTACTCTCATCGACTCCACCGAGACCTGGACTCTGGGACTGATGTCTCCAAGGTATATACATATAGTCATGCGTGGCCAGCTGCACCACTGTGTCAATGAACATGAGTTTGTTGAGTTAGTTTGGCTATATAGAGCAATAGGAGAAAACTTGGGACGAAAATCTTCAACATGCTCATTTTAAATACTGGAATGTATGCACAAAAGCTTGAAGGAAGATGATTATCATCTGTTTTAATAGCTACACTTCTCTTCCTCCAGGTTAATGAGGTTCGTCTCTGCACCATGAAACAGAATAATCCAAGGTAACAAACAAAATTGGTTAGGTGACATAAGTTTATGTAATTGTCTCACTGACAGGTTTATACTCCGCAACCACATTCTACAGACTGCCATATATAGAACATGCAGAGAAAGGAAATTTCTCTGAGGTGAGATTACAGTCAAGTATCACGGAATAGCTCTTATGTCCATCAAGGTGTTCACATTGAGAGTGTGTTGTTCTCCAGGTCCGTCATCTGTACCAGATGCTGCAGACACCCTACCAGCATGTAGAAGGAGTGGGGTCTCCTGGACCAGTGGTTGAGGCCAGGGAGGATGGAGGGACTGTGGCTTCTCGTGATAGGGGAGGGAGAGGAGAGGGAGGGGAGGAGGCGGGAGCTGTGGGGGGTGTGGCAGTGGGGTCAGCTGTCAGTCAATACTACAGCAAGCCACCAGACTGGGCCCTGACTCTGTGAGGCACCTGATCTTCCTAGTCGCCAGAGAACCAGGTTTGTTTGGCCATAGTAATAATCAGCTGTCTATGCAATATTTTTTTGGGAACAGGTGATGTTGGGGTTCTCTGGCAGTGCAGTCTGCAGTCAGGTGGACACAATGGTTCAACACTGCTGTTGGAGCAGTGGTAGTTATTATGACGGGTCAGACCTAAACCACTTGTGGCGGATGACCTCGATGATGAATCCACCCTGCATAATAAACTAACTTACTTATGCGCATGCGCACACTTGTATTTTTACGTGATGATGTAATCAGTAGAAGCGAGAGAAAAACAGAGGGCGGTTGCCAGTATTGTGTTGACTGTTCCCTCCTTTGGGGGGCCATCGCCAATCCGTTACCGATCATCTGCGTTTGCAAATATTAGAGGTAAGTGTAGGTCACTGTAAGTCTACCTTGTTGTGTGTTGTGCTTATGGCTGAAATGGCGGTTCACTCTCCTTCACACGTGAAGTGGTGTATATAATGGTCGGAAAATAATATACCGTAGCCTCGTGTATTGTGAGCAACGGCACGTCCTCTCTGTGGTGTAGAAGTGTGGCCGGTTATGAGCGCTAGTCTAGCATCCAGACACCAAAGCGGTCCTCGAACATTCCCGGAAAGAAAATGGTCTCTCCGCACGCCCACAGAATAAAAACGGATTCCCCCCTCGGACCGGTCATCGGCCGCGGGATGGTCCCCCCCCCCCCCGGCTGCAGAGGTCCCACCTTGTCTCACTTTTTCGTTTGGTTCACATTATTATACATAGGCTAGATGCATCAACTACAAAATTATTAAGGTCGTCGATCTGGCCCGCCCCCTTCTTCTGCGCCATAAAGGTGCTTCCGTGTGATTAGGACAGATGAAAAGTTTTTGTGAATATTAGTTATTGCAAACCGATACGAAATCTTCAAATTTCCACAAAAAGCAATTTGTGTTATAATGCACTAATCATGTAAAACCAATTCACTGCAGGTATTGCACTGTATCAGTTAGAGTACACACGCGAGGGCGACGACGTGAATTTGCGATGCGCACGAAGTGCAACGGGGAGAAGAGAAGACGAACGGGTAGCAGTTACACCGAAAAAAACATTGTGCCCCCCCCCCCCCCCCCCCCCCCCCCCCCCCCCCCCCCCACTTGGCTCGGACACTCAAAAGGATGCCTAAGATATAACAGAGATACGGGTCGCCAATTGATAGTGTGCTTGGGGACTGTGTGGTGGTAGTACAAAATCAAGTCATGAAGCCAATATGCTAATTACAACAGGCTACACCTCCACCGGGTCCGCTTGCTCTGTGTATCTTGAAGGCACAAGAAGTATCCACACCAGGGTGGTTGACTCCAACCCCAGCATGCAATCTACATGACAGTAGCCAGCCAGTTATGACTCTCCGCAGCTTCTCGTGTGGAGACCAGAGCAAACGAATACTAATAGTCCAGACACATGAATTAGTGAACACCGCTATGCGCAGTCCAGTCGCCCGGGTTTGCACTGTAGGTTTCATTAGAACTTGGTTCTGATCCGTTTGCTACTTGTTGTTGCCCAATGTCTGCGGGACTTCAGATGCACTCTTCAAACAGTCAGCTTAGTACATGTTCAGGGGAATTTTTCACAAAAGTTTCAGATAAAGATTGGTTGAGAAGTGAAGTAACAACAATTGATGTTGCTCCTCGACTGAACTTTGCAGAGTGATCGTCTATGTAGTTTGTTGGCCTGTACCTTTTCTCCTACTTGCTTGTTAAAAGTACGAGTTTAGTCCACCCTATTCCACAATCTCTATGATATTTGGAAAAAGACTTTGTCAAGTAATAAGAATGATAGATTAGCCTGTCTTTTGCCCCACTTTCTTTCTAAAGTACTGGAAATTATAAGCCACTTATAGTCTGCAATGTTTGCACTGCACTGTCCAGTTGGTAGATGGAGCTGTCATCACTAGTCTATTGTCCAGACCCCACCCACAAGAGCAAAGGCTATTGGTCGCATTCGCGAGAATTTTGAGCTTTGTGTATAATTACTAGGTGTGAGAACAACGCAATTTGAAGTGAACGTGTGTGTCATAAAATTGTATGCATGAGGCAAAAAGTCTGTGTTCTCTGCCATCTATACACATCAAAAAGACTCTTCGTTGAATTGGTAGAGATTAAGTCCTTACTTTTGCGAGTTTATATAGTGAATGCACGTAAGAAAAAAGTTTACCTCCAAGGGCATTTGGGGCATTTGTGAAAGCCTGGTTACTTATCAGCTTTGACACTTCACGTAATCAAATCTAAATAGCGGTATCACAGTGGTGTTGTTTCTGCTGACAACACAGACCTTATGTAAGTGGAAGTGTAGCTTATGTCAAGTTTCTATGTTGTAAGTTGCCTGTCCTGTCACCACCCCCCACTAGACTGGCACTGCATTCAGCATGCGTAGAGAGGGTCTAGCTAAACCTGCACTTGCAACATGCAACCAATCACTCCGATGTATTCATAGTTACAGTACTACCACATTGTACAAGGTTCGCCCAGTTTATGTAAACAGCCCACATGATATAAAATTTCCAGTAGAATGCAGGTTTTGGCGAGACCCTTATCTCTGCACGTGGCTTCACCGTGCATGCTGAGCCGGGAGAAGACATGTCTGCGGGCTAGACTATCACCCCTCTTGCTTGCTGAGAAAGAATGCCAGTGGGCTAGACTATCACCCCACTTGCTTGCTGAGAAAGAATGTCTGCGGGCTAGACTATCACCCACTGCTTGCTGGAAAATACCAGCGGGCTAGACTATCACCCCACTTGCTTGCTGAGAAAGAATGTCTGCGGGCTAGACATCACCCCACTTGCTTGCTAAAAGTATGAAACTTCTGGCCACCTATGGTACTTGGTTTGTGTGTGTGTGTGTGTTGTCTGTTACCACGTTTTCTGCCACTAGGCGCCAACAACAAGCCAAGGAGCAGCTACGCGAATAAGGACCGCACTTCACTGGCTTGATTTTGAAACTGGTGATTTTGTACGAATACTGTTAATAGTACAACCAGGGGCTAATGGTTGACATGTTGGCTTGGGGACTACATGACACACCCTGAATGAAGGCCAAAGATGGGGAGGAAAAGAAAAGAGAAGAATGGCAGCGATGAATATTCTACCAAGGAAAGGGAGGGTTGAAGCGCTAGTTGCCTGGCTCCAGTCCAGAAGTAGTGTGCCGTGCACTTTTGAACTTCCCACCTGAGACCTGTAAACTACATGAGCTACTCTATGCCCATATTCAAGTGACCAGACTCTTTCTCTGTTGCGGATTGAGTCTTGGTACACATGTATGAGAGCGTAACGCAGCCAATTATCGACGAACGACTGTGTGTACCGGCGCTTGTAGCTCCGTCAGAAACGCCTCCGGAATTCGGTTCCTGTACCGTCGCAAACCCCATTCTATGCTCTACTAGACTCGCAAAGGTCCAGCCCCTAACGGTTTTCCATTAGAGCGCCATCCTCGTATATGTCAATGTCACGGACCATTATCAGAACACCGGTACCGACCGCCGAACGTGCGTACATTGCGCATAGCGAATATCGGAACGCTGGGGAAAAACCCCACCTACAGCACAGGCATGTGCAGTTATGTGCCGACTACTGCACCTAAACATGCATCATAATGCAGCTACACGGGCGCTATTCATCCGGTAGTTGTAAACGCGCAAACTCGGGAATATTCACCAAATGATAACTTCCAGGAGTGTTTGTGCAATACAAAAACCGAAACAAAAAACGTCAGGTAGAAAGGTTATTGAGGCAATAAAGCAGAGATGCTCATTCCCATCACTATCTGTGACACAGTCATCTGCGCAACCTCATGCAGCCATCGTCCACATGCGCATCGTTTCTGATTGATCGTCGTCGTAGGAAAAGTAGCACACACACATTCACTGTCGTTGATCTGGTAGAGGGTGTTGGCAGTTTTCCGGGGACAGTTTTGTCGGTCTGGTACTACGAGCGTTTGGTTCTCTTCGTTCCAACACCTGCGGGTGCTTTCTTCCCTTCCCTTTTTAGCTTGTTGTATACTACTTCCTTTTCAGCTTTCCCCTCAGTTTTTGTTCCTGCTTTCTTGCTCGCTCTTTCATTCGCTTTTGTCCTTCTGTTCTTCTGCCTTCGTGGTCTTCCTCTTTCTTTGTTTCCTCCCCTCCTTACATTCTTTTCTCTTTGTATAAACTCTGCTTCCTCAGTGGCTTTTTTCTCTCTCTTTCCCCGTCACAATATCTCCAAAGCACGCACACTGTTAATCAATGAGCCCGAGGTGGCTCTCGCTTTTCGACCAGTGGAGTGACGCTACGATAGGAGGTCAGGAACTTGTGACGAGTGTCGACGTTCATGGAGTGTTTTTTGATGCGTGTATCTGTGTCAGGAGGGGGAGAGTCACAGCAATCTCTGCGACGGAGTGACATCTGAAAAGTGATGGAGGAGCGATTGCTTATGATAGCACTTGTTGGGGGTGGTTAATCGAAGCCAAGAGACGTAGTCAGGATACTCCAGCACCATCAAAATCGTCCTCATAGCCGACCTGGAAACGACGCTGCTGTTCTGCGAGAATGAGGTCCAGCCCCACACCGAACGAGGTAAGAGGCGGGTGTGCAGACTGCTGAGCGCCATTCGCGACCGAGCACCATCTTGCGCGGCCTACCCAGCACTCCTGTGGGCATAAAGTACGTAATAGCTGCCCATATAGCTGATAAAACGACTACTAAAGAGAAAGACCGACGAAAAACAAACCGGCGGAGAGGGTCCGCATACCTGTGTCACACCTCCGTTTTCATCAGCCGATACAACTTGTCTTCGTACCTCGCAAGCCTCGCGAGCGTTCGATAATAG